AGTTCTATATGAATTCAATCAATTATTTTTAATGGACTATTTATTTATTTATATGTGGAGCTGAGAATTGAACCCAGTGCCTCAAACATGCTAGGCAAGTGCTCTACCACTGAACCATAACCCCAGTCCCCTATCGATCTTAAATACTGTTAAATCCTTTGCCACTTAATCCTTTAGTCAAAAAAGATGATTTATACTGTTTCACCAAGAACCAAAAGAAGAGATCAGCTCACAGAATAGTTAAGTATACTGTAAACTGACAGTTAAAAAAGTTTTAGGAAGCTGGGGTGTGTATAGCTCAGTGGTAGAACACATGCCGAGCATGCACAAGTCCCTGAGTTTAATCCCCACAACAAATAAATGTCTTAGAAAACTGTTGAATTTTTATATTTTACTCTACCTTGACAAATTATGTCAAGGTAGAGTAAAATAAGTATGCTCTCAGTATTTTTAAAAATAGCTCAGTTTGCAATTCTTTGGCTGAGCAGTATGTCAACACAACAAAACACTGCACAATGTTGTAACATTTCTCCAATATGAGTTTGTTTCCAACTTAACAACTTTGTATGTTTTCCATACAAAAACGAAAACCTTTTCTAATCTCTTGTCTCTATTCTGGATATAACTACATACTACAAAAATGACAGACAAGGCTGAAGTGGTCATCCAACTTTAGCTTGTGGTCACTTACCCCTTTTCCTTTCAATATGTAGTCTTAGAAAAGGAGTTTAGACCAAGGTTTTAGAACAAATGTGTCACGAGCAGCTTCTCAGCCTTGTCTGGTTACCAGGAGTTCCCTTCCGGATATCTGCACTGGACCCCGGACCGCGACGTACGCGAACACCAAGCACGAACTCGATTGCCTTTTGAAATGCTGGTTTATTCGCACACCACACAAAGCAATACACGAGGTGGCTGGCACACAACTGCACGATCTTACTCTCAGGCGACGAGAGTTAGTTGTGAGCAAATACATGGAGTTTCCCTCGCGCTTATATACTCTATATGTTTACAACAAACTTGTTTATGTCTAACTTATCTAACATAAGCACACTACCTAGTTACATCATCAACTTATCTAACATGGGCATACTATCTAGTCATCCTATAACCAAAACATGTTTACAACTAAAAAGTCACTTAGTCACTGCAAAGTCCAAAACAAGTCCAAAACAAGTCCTTTTGCTGATTCATGTTGTTTATTCATCCTTGATGTTTACTCCTGTCAAAATGTTATCAATAAGGGCTTGGTGGTCAATGTAATTGCATTTAAACATTTATAAATTACACTTTTTTTTGGGGGGGGGGGTACTGGGGGTTGAACTTAGGGGCACTCAACCACTGAGCCACATCCCCACTCTATTTTGTATTTTATTTAGAGACAGGGTCTCATTGAGTTGCTTAGCCCCTCACTTTTGCTGAGGCTGGCTTTGAACTCAAGATCCTCCTGCCTCAGCCTGCCCAGCTACTGGGATTACAGGTGCACACCACCTCACCCAGCTATAAATTACACTTTTAAAGTAGTTTCGTGCTATGATTAGTTTTAAGTAAATCATATTGTGGGGGTGAAGTTGAATGGCAGAGCACTGACCTAGCATGCCCTCTCCATCACAAAACGAAGTCAAAATCATGTTGATTTTTTTTTTTTTAAGAAAAATACATTTTAGGATTTATTTTTCATGAAACCCATTTAGGATAAAAAAAAAGCAGCACCAATAGTATTTTATAGAAATGCTATTTCTATAAAATAGTATTTTATAGAATCTAGACCTGATACTGCTGAGAACCACTATTCTTATCCTCGAATTTAGGTCTTAATTTTCTAAAGAATTCTCTTATGAGAGATGGGGTCACAGTGGTTGATTGCTTGCCTAGCAAGCACAAGGCTCTGAATTCCATCCTCAGAACCCTAACCCCCAACACACACGCAAAGAAAAAAAAAACAAAAAAAAAACTATGATCAAATGTACTTTGAAACACAATGCTGCTTGAGTCAAAGAAATACCTGAGTTTAATATTATGCTCTAGAAGTATGAAACTATGTCACATTAGGTAGAATCAGGTTCTTTGGAGGGAGGGGCCTAGAAATCTAAATACTTATTAAGTGGCTGTATTAATGCTAAAGTTTGAAAATGATTATCTAAATCAAAAAAGAGTATCAACTTCTCTGGCCTAAAATAATTGTGTTGTGGCTTCGTGTGATGGCACATGCCAGAATCCCAATAATTTGGGAAGCTGAGGCAGGAGGATCACAAGTTTGAAGCCAACCATAGCAACTTTCTAAAAATAGAAAAAAGGGTAGGAAAGGTGGCTCACAGTAAAGCATCCTAGGGTTCAATTCCTAGTACCACAAAACAAAACAAAACAAAAAACCATTATCATCCAAGTTAATGCTTTTCTTGAACTCTCGTTTATAATACAAAACAAAACAAAAAGGTTTAGAGACTGAATTACACAAAAAAGTCTGGAATTTCAAACCTGTCTTAGAATTGAGGATCATAGCTCTTATTATTTATATTCTAATAAATCTTATTTCTAAAACTGTGCAAAATTATGATCTTAGTTGGCCACTTGTTTAACTATTTAAAATTTAAATACAGTTGATCCTGTGGGGTGAGACACATGGATTCAACCAACTAGAGCTGAAAAATATGGAGGGAGGAAAACCAACTGTGTTTGTAGTGAACATGTACTTTTAAAAAATTATTTCCTAAATGTTACATTGCAATGGCTATTTACATAACATTTACAATGTATTCAGTATAAGTAATCTAGAAATTATTTCAAGTATAAGGAAGGTTTTGCATAGATAATATGCAAACATGAGGCTATTTTATATAATAAATCTGTGGATGCTCAAATTCCTTATCTATGGAGATCCTGGAACCAAAGTCCATTAGCTACCAAGGGACAACTGTTAAAGAAACTTTAAAATGTGTTTAAGAATTAAGAACTAGGGCTGAAGTTGGGGGTGGAAGGGTAGGGGTGTAACTCAATGGTAAAAGCCACATAGCATGCATGAGGCTATATAATCCCCAACACCTCCAAAAAATTAACATATAATTAAGAATTTTATTAAGATACAAGTTTCACCTCTATCAACTTTCATACTTGCATGCTAATGAAGCAGCCTACCAGTTTCAAAGATGATGATATGCCGCAGTCTGGCTGGGCACAAAATAAGGGGAGGTCATGAGCCACTTGTAGGTTCAAACAGGAACTACTTTATTGCCCAAACTCCACGGGAACTCAAGGGGAACTCCCCCGAGAACTCAAAAGTAGCGGGCACCCAAGGTAGCAGGAGCCGCCTTATTGCCGGACAGCAAAGGTTTATATACACAACTGAATACACAGCTTGTTTCAATTTAGCATCATCCAGTTACAGCAATCAGTTATTATCTTAATAATTATACACAGCTTAACCTAATTATCATCATCTTAATGGCTCACTGGCATTACTTCTCAACCACTCCTTCTGGCAAAATGCCAGGCACCTTCTTGATTCGGTTGTGGCTCTCAACAGTGATAGAAGAAAGAGACAGCAATAGCATATTTGTAGCAAAAGTATAAGCCAAAGTATCAACATTTTTGCACTGGTTCCCAGAGCCTCAGTTCCCACAGGACAAAGTGAAGAGAGTCAACTGATATCTACACAGGCAGCGGGTTGTGTTACAGAAGAGGAACACTGAGCTTAGGGAACCCTAATCTTTTAATGTGGGCAATAAGCAAGCCCACCCTTTGGCTCCAGAGGAAAACATTATTATTTTTTTTTATTAAACAGTATAGCATATAACTGTATACACATAGCATATATTCCTGCTTTTTGCTGTGGTGGGAGATACTATCTTTTATAAAGACTGTTCTTTATACAACATCCTTAACAAAACAGAAACAAAGAGAGGTTGCTACTTCACTAGCAAGAGCGTAGAAATAGAGACCCTTAGAAAATTGTCTCCTACAAATAGAGACTGTTGCTAAGATAAATGGATTCAAGACCACAATCTATTTAAAGCATCAATTTCATACATCCCTTGACCTAGTGTAACTACTTGATTAGCATATTATCTCAAATTAAATCAACCAGTTTAGGTTAAAAGTGATTTCCCTTTTCCAGTTACTTTGTATTATTTGAAGGATGTGCTCCAATATTTGCCATACTATTTAAATTTAAAATGCTCTACCAGAAACAATTACTGTTCTTACTTTAAATGTTTCAAACCTGTTAACGTTAGCAATGGGAACTACCTGTCAAAAGTCTCATTTTCCAGTAACAAACACTACAAAGAGAACAGTAGTAACTTAGTCATTGCCTACAAAATACAAGAAAACCCTGCATTTCCAAATTACTTGTTTTATTTCACTTTACCCTTCACTGTCTCAAAAACAAAACCTTCGAAAGAAGCAGACAACAAACCACCGTCTCTAGGTTTCTTTGTCCCCAGCAGAAGCGGAGAGGATTGCGAACTCATTAAGGTAAAGAACCCCAAACATGCAAGATAGGAAACAGACGGCATTCAATCTGCAATCAATCATCAAAGAAAGTCACCATCACTTAATCTCCATCCCTCCCAACCCCCCCACCTCCAGCTCAAATAACGTGGGTATATAAGAGATGATTAGGATCATATGGACCTGGACAAAGCTTTGCAGAGGCAACGGGTAGCAGTTAACTAGATGCAGTCGGGCAAAGAATCCGCGAAACGGAGTACAGGAGACTCCGCCAGAGCTCTGCAAAAGTGCGGGTCGCAAAGGCCACCCAGCCCCGAAGGAGAACGCTGAGCAGCAGCAGCAGCGCGGCCAAGTCCCCAGCGCCCGTGGAAGTTGCGAGGCGAGCCGCAGAGCGCGCGGGCCCTCCATGTCACCGCCGACTCAGACCCTCCTCCTCGCCCCTCCCCCGCCGAGCACCCCGGGCGGCGGCGACATGACAGCGGGTCGCGCCGCGCAAGGACGCCCGCCTCCAGCAGCTCCGTCTCCGGGTGTCCCCCGCGCCCGCCTCTCACCTTGGGTGGCGAAAGGCGAGGAGCCGCTGACCGGCGAGCCGGGGGCGGGGACGGGCGGCGGGGTCTCGGCAGAGCCCAGCATTGGCGCCGGCAACATGAGGTAGCGCTGGGGCGCGGGCAGGCAGCGCTGGCAGAAGGAGTGCAGGCAGGGCAGCAGCTTGGGCGCCCGGCTCTGGATGTTCTGGTGGCACACGGCGCAAGTGTCCAACAGGTTGAGCCGGGCTGCCTCGCCGCCGCGCTCCGAGTCCGGGCCCTGCCGACTCTCGGCCTCGTTCTCTCCGCTCGGAGCCGCCGAGGGCCCCCCGGCGGCCGCCGCCGGAGCCGCGGCCGCCGCTGCCTTCTCCACAGCCACCTCCATTGTCCTGCCCCGCCGCCGCCGCCCGGGAAGGGGGAGCGCGGTCTCCGCCCGCCGCCCCCGACGACCTCCTCCTCCTCAGAGGCCGCTCAGTCAAGCCGCGGAGAGCAAGGGAGGGAGGGAGAACCGGGCAGAGGAAGCCGCCTCGGGACCCGGAGACCCGCCTCCCGGGTGGCGCGGCCGGAAGAAGGGGATCTGTCAGCGGGGACCGTTCCCCGAACGGAGGAGGCTGCGCCGGTCCGCTTCGCCAACCGCCGCGCTCTCTTCGAATCCGCCCCAGCGCGCCCTCGCCTCCCAGCCTTTCTCTCAGCCCCGGCCCACCGCAGGCCCCGCCCCCGCCCTCCCTCTCCCAGCAACCGAGGTGACGGCGAGAAGCGCGCCGCCCAATAGCTGCCGCGCCTGGCGAGAGGGCGGAGCCTTCCGAAGCCCGCGAGGCTCTGAGGGCCGCGGCGGGGGGCTGGGAGGTGGGAGGTGCCGGCCTGGCCCTGCCCCTCCGGACGCCTAGAACCGCGGCCTCTGATTGGGCTTTTGTGTGTGTCTTGCTCCGCTGAAAAGATTAAGGGTTCATTTGTTAACCACCAGGTACCTAATACGGCACCGTGGCGCTAGCTCCTCCCATGGGGCGGGGCTTCACCTTGTTAATTAAGTAACTGCTTCGGTAACTCTGGTTTTACTACCTGAGACGGGATCTTGAAAGAGGAGTAAATATGGTGGTAGAGGAGTCAAAGGAGGATCTAGTGGAGGTAGTGAACGCAAGATTCAGAAATGTATTGTGTGTGTAAGGGCCTTGCTTATCGTCTGGATGGCTATCTTAAGTGACAGCTCTTTTAAGGAAAAAGTTTCACTTTCCCACCCAAGGGCGTTCCTGAGAAAGAAGCACCACGCCCTCAGACTAAGCCAACCCTTAACCACCTGCGTTAGGACCTGCCCAGCTCTGATTCCTGAGCCTCCCCCATAAAAGTTCTGGAACCCAAGCCTGTTTTGCCTCTCTCTCCTATAGAGAGATGGCCTGTATTTGTGAGCTCTGACCAATAAACTTTCATGTGTATCTCTGCCTGGTCTCTGTATCATTTCTTGCTTACCAGTCTCTGGTTCCTCGCTTTCCTTTCAATTTGGTGCTGAAACCAGGCATCGGTTCCCGGGTGTGCCCCCTCTCCTTTTCAAGGACCACTGAGGGTTCCCAGGCCAATCTGAATTCCATCATGGGACCAGGCCCTCCATTCTGCTGAATGCCTTCTCCGCACCCACTACTGGACGTTCCAGGTAAGACCCCTATCTCTGGTCTACCTAAACAACCTATGGGTCCCAGGAAATGACTGTTGAATGTCCAGCATTCCCAGGGTTACTGTGTGGGCAGGGGCACCCCCAGTCATAGCTGTCACAGCTACAGCTGATCCCTACTGTGACCAAGTCTATAGGTCTTTTATTTAGTACTGGGTTTTGAGAAAAAAACCACAGAGGGTGATTAGGAGTTATTCCTACCTCTTGGCCTTGGATTAATCTCTACGGCTTCTGCCCCTTCTTTGGGCTTCTGCCCCTACTATGTAGTCTCGGCTGGGTATCCAAGTGCCTCTAAAGGTCCTGCCCCAACGCTTACCCAGCAGTGGTGATAACCCCCTGAGCATAACCGTCCTCTAGACTAGGTGATACTAGAGACTGGGGGCCACCCCACCTCTAAACTCACCTCCTGCTTCTCACCATGGGCAGCTCCTCATCCATGCCCTCCCATAGCCTCTGGGGCTGCCTCCTGGCTAACCTAGGGTCTCTCTCTTCTCACCCCAGACCTAAAGCCCCCAGATCTTATCCAATCAGATCTGGCCTTAATATCCTTTGGATAACAACTCTAAATGGCCACTTGTGGCACTCTAGATCCCAATATTATCAGGGATCTTTTCAACTATAGTGAGCGTTCAGGAAAATGGAAAGAAGAATCATGTTCAGGCCTTCTCCTCTACACTATAAGCTCTCTCTCTGCAACTCTTGCTCTCCTGCCCAAGTCCTCTTAGCTCTCACCTACGCCTGCTTCCAAAGGGGTAGAAGATACTATCCAGAACTCCTCCTTCGACCCAGCTGATAAGCTCCCACCATATCATAATTCTCTTTCTAATGAAGCCTTCGCAGCAACTGTCCCCTTGGGCCCTCTGCCCTTCTCTTCTCCTGCCACACTCTCACAGGTTGCCACTGCCCAACGGACATCTCTGTGTCCTCTACACGAGGTAACGGGTAGATGGTGTAATCAAGGTTCATGTGCCTTTCTCTTTGTCAGATCTTTCACAGACAGAAATGCAACTTCTGTCCTATACTTCAAGTCCCATCACATATATCAAAGAGTTTCAATATCTGACTCAGTCATATAATTTGATCTTCCACAATGTCCATATGATCTTGTCTAACACCCTCCTGCCCGAGGAACGCAGATAAGTTTGGGAGCAAGCTAGAAATTATGCTGATGAGGTACATCAGACCTCCTCTGCCTACCTGATTGGCACTGCAGCAGTCCCTTATCGGGACCCCAATTGGGATTATAATTCACCTAGAGGAATAACTAGTAGAAACCAATTAATTACTTGCCTCATGACAGAACATAGAAAGGCAGCCCATAAGGCTGTCAATTCTGAAAGGCTCCAAGAAATCTTCCAAGATAAGAATGAAAACCCTTCAACATTTGTAGACCACCTGACCAAGGCTTTATTAGATTATACTAATCTGGAACCTGAAACTCCAGATGGAAACAACTACTAATGACCTACTTTTTCTCCAGAGTTTCCCCCATATTAAGGCCAAACTAAGGTACCTCAAGGGGGGCCCCTAAGTCCCAAGCTAAGGTTCTGGAAGTGACCTTTAAGGTGTATAATGAGAGAGACCAGAAGGCCCAGAAGCAGAAATATCAGATGCTCGCTCAAGCCATCCATCCAGCCTCAGCATCTGTCCCTGGTTCCGCTGGCCCATGGAAGGGTCCCTTGGGACCACCCAGACCCTGTTTTAAATGTGGTCAGATGAGTCACTGGGCTCATACAGGTCCTAAGCCTTTCAAGCCTCCAGACCCTTGTCCTAAATGCCATCAAAAGGGACACTGGACCATTGACTGTCCCTGAGCCTATAGTGGCCTCCAGCCATCTGGCCCTTCTGGTTCCCATTTCCAACTCTTAGGACTGGCTGCAGAGGACTGACGAGGCCCAGGTCCCCATCACCCGACCACTATCAGCACTCAATGGGAACACAGGGTAACTCTGCACATTTCAAGTAGGCCTGTCTCCTTCCTCCTAGACATTGGGGCTACATATTCAGTCCTCAAGGAGTTCTGCGGGCCTACTACTCGTTCTATGAAGAGTATCTTGCAACCCTTGGGGGAGAACTGTTCATATCAGCTGAGTGGAGTTATAAGCCTCAGGGTCTGTCAGTAGAGGGTAAACCCTACCAACCCTTACAGGCATCTAGGCTCATTTGAGCTTTTGGCTCTCTTAATTTTAACTCACTCCATTTTGGTCATTGCACAGTGCCCTCTTCCCCTTATGGGAAGGGCCATTCTCACAACGTTGGGGGCTACACTTTCCTTCTCCCATCATATACACTTCCATCCAGACTTGCCTGCTGCTCCCCTGATCCTCACCCTTATCTTAAGGCCATCTCCTATTCTGTCAGTGCCTTCCCATTACCCACTTCTGAGGTGGGCCCTACTGTCTGGGATGCTTCAAGTTTTTCTATCACCTCACACCACAAGCCCATTCACATTAGTCTCAAAGACCCCCTTAATTTTCTGGTCCAATCACAATACCCATTCTCCAGACAAAAACTCCTAGGCTTACAGCCTATCATTCAAGACCTCTTGCAAAACGGATTCCTTAGACCTACTCATTCCCTTTATAACACCCCCATCTTGGCAGTGAAAAAGCCTAATGGTTCCTACTACTTAGTCCAAAAGCTCCATTCCATCAACTCTGTGGTCATCCCAATCCATCCTGTGGTAACCAATCCTTATACCCTTCTCTCCACCATTCTTTCCAGGACCTCGTACTTCTCAGTACTAGACCTGAAAGATGCCTTCTTCTAAGGCGAAAATGTCTGACTCTCAAGATATTTTCACCTTTACATGAACAGACCCTGAGTCTTATAACTCCACTCAGCTGATATGAACAGTTCTCAAGGGTTGCAAGACAGCCCTCATATCTTTGGACAGGTCTTGGCTAGCATCCATACATCTCACTCAGAATATGGTGGTACAATATGTTGATGACCTTCTTTGCAGTTCCTCCTTTGAGGTCAGTTATCAGGACACCTGTAAACTTCCTAACTTCCTTTCTGCCCATGGCTATAGGGTTTCTCCATCCAAGGTACAGCTCTTCTTGGCAATTGTAACAAAGCAGGCCTCCTCCTGATGTCTACACACAAAGCCATTATGGTTGATAGAAAGAGCCTTATCTCTAATATATCAACACCCTCTCTAAGGAAGAAATTCTCTCCTTTCTAGGTATGGCAGGATTCCTCAGAGCTTGGATTCCTAACTACTCTATATTGGATAAGCCTCTATATGATGCAGCCCGGGGCCCACTCTCTGAACTCCTATTGTACTCTGTTACAATGCCCTTTACCAGGCTCCAGCAGGCTCTCCTCCAGGCCCCTGCTCTCCATCTCCCTGATCTCACATGCCCATTTCATTTTTATGTGGCTGAAAAGCAGGGATTTGCTCTGGCTGAAAATAAGGGATTTGCTCTAGGGTCCTCAGACACATGCTGGGGCCAACCTTTGCCCCTGTGGCTTATCTGTTGAAGGGTCTTGACCCTACTGTTTGAGGATGGGCCCCTTGCCTATAAACATTGACCACAGTCTCTCTACTCATTAACGAGTCAAAGAAACTCACCTTTAGGGCCCCACTCACCATCCTGGCTCCCTATCACCTAAAGAAACTCCTCACCTACAAGGGCTTACATTCCTTACCCACCTGTCGCCTTTTATCTCTACAGGTTTCCCTGGTGGAAAATCCCAGTCTTACTTTCCACACGTGCTCACCTTTAAACCCTGCTACTCTCCTCCCTGCTCCTCAGGACTCTTCCAGCTCTTCTCCTCTTACCATTCATGCACTGAAACTCTGGAGTTTCACATATACAGAAGGCCCCTTGCTCTAGGCAACATGCACATGGTTCACAGATGGCTCCTGCTTCCTTCAGGAAGAAGTTCAACAGGCAGGTGTGCTGTAGGCTCTCTAACCTCAATAGTGGAAGTGGTTTCCCTCCCCTTTAATACATCCAATCAGCACGCTGAACTGGTTGCCCTCATCA